TTCTCGATCGTAATCGACGATAAGACGAGGGTTTTACAGAAAAACGCGTCCTTCCGATACTTCTATCCGAATTTCGCATCGTTCCCCGTTCAAGGTCAAGTCTGCTGGTTCAATGACATCTTTCGGAAAAAGTATATGCCTCAGATTTTCATTAAGTTTCCGGTTTAGGAGCAGCTGGAAGGAAAAGAGAGCTTCCCTTATAGATCACACGGAATTTCGGTTCCGTTTGTTCGCGCCGCAAATCAAACTGTTCGGCCTCGTGTTTCTGGAGTATCGAGGCCTTGATATATGATCAAACAATTGTGGAAGGGACAGCAGGTTTCTGGTCATTCAATGTCTTCTAAATCCATGATAGGATACATACAGAAAAAGCTATCCGACTCCTCCAAACAAACCTTGCAAACGCTTTGTCACCGCTTGCGCGAGATTGGAGGTACATATCTCCAAGATAAAATACACCGCTTTAAGCCCATAGATTTGCGGGATTCTGAGCCGCCGGGGAGTCACTTGACATGGTAGTTGTGCCAGCATATCGAGAATCCCTTTCGCGGATTAATACACATATATACACACTTTCCGACGTGGGAGGCATCTCGATGATTTATCGGGAAGCCCATCGCAAACTCGAAGTAGAGAGTTAGGCTTCGCTCGACACCGTCCGGACTGGTCTAATGTAGATGGTTTTGATGCATTGACTGACGCTACTTCTGTGGCCTATCGCGAGACCGTGTTGTATCCTAGCCCGAGGTGCGTGATTTCTACTTTTTGTCTTGTCCTTCCAGGTGACCTTATCCCGGAGGGGAGATGGAGGTCTTTATCATATGGATTGCTCAAGGTTTTGCGTGGATCTGTTCTCATATCGATGTGAGTACCCAACGAAAAATAGATGTTGATCCCGAAATAGACGGATTGGTTCAGACCCCCTACGCTCGATGAAGCTCCTTGTCAAGAGTGAGACTTCCAGAAAATTTTGTGAGCTTCCCTAGACTTCCGCAACCCCGCAGAGTAATCCCCGGTAAATCCTCCCTCACAAGAGGGCTTCTGCCAGAAGTACTTCCTTCGTGCCGAAGAACGAGCATATCAGCTAAGGCCGGGAAGTGTCGACTCGAACCCTCATCTGCAAGGGAAGTCCAAAAAGCGTCCGCGGCTCGTTCCGTATTGATATTCGGTGACGCAAAAAGGCGTAACATCAGTATCCACAAATTTCTGATTTGCCGCTACGATCGACAGTGTCCACGCCACGCGCGGACCTTCTCCGGGTGAGCACCTCGCGGAAGGGTCGGAGAGCGTTCCGCGCCTCCTTATCCAGGAAATGTCGTCTCAGCCACCTCTTGCAAGCATTGATGAGGCTCAATATTCCTCGTCTTGGAGCAGCCATTATTAGCAGCAATATACTCCGAAGCGTAACGATGAATAATAGGCTGTCGAATCTCTTCCTCGAATGGGAGTGGGTTCCTCTGTGAATTGTTTTTCTTGTTTGGTACGTCTACGCCTTCATGAAGTCGCCTGCGTTTCTGTGTTCTGCTAACGAGTTGTCTGACGAGTATACTTCCTGTCCAGAATCGGGAGGAGCGAGGAACAGCGATGTATGTATGTATGTATATTTGATCAAAGTTCGGCGATTGGGCTGCTCGCTCCGTCTGGATGGCTTGGGAAGTCGCACCGATTTGAGGAAGAAACACCTACACGTCGCGGAACTCAATCAATATCAATTTCTGGAGCGAATGGGCGCCGCAAGCTTCATATGCTGCACCGGCTGATTAGTGGTGGCGAGTTGGACGAATAGCCGCGGCCTTCACTCAAGTCCGACCTTCATTACATCTCAATCAAGACGGAATCGGAGTTCTTTGTCCTCCACCCGAGCTTATTGCGTTTCAAGGGTTTCAATTCCATGTTTCGTTCCACCAATTATTTCACTTCCATGTTTCGTTGCTCGATACTGTCCAATAATAATTTGATATTAGGAGGACTGCTGCTCTATTGATGGCACGCTCCAATATCTGTTGGCGGTGCCTTTTGCCCGAGCGTCCGAAGCGACTAGTGTCAATCGATTGGGAAATACCGGTCTCTGGTCTCGATTGAGCCCTCTCCTTGTCTTAAGCCTTTCTGTGGTGATTGTCACGTGCGGGAGACAAATCCAATGGCTCCACCCAGGGGGGACCTGTACTGGTGAACGACGACAATCAGACACCATCCGAGTCCCATACGATCCTTCAGAATGACAGTGCGCGAAGTCTCGTGACGGATGTACTTTCTGAGTCACACCCACTGCAATAAACTTTATGACTTGCTGATATTCCATCCGAAAGCGATATACGAGCAGAGCATGGAAGATCTTCGGGTTTCCGATGGCTGGAATCCGACTCAGCGGTGCCGCTGAACCGCGTGGAATTCTCGAAGCAAGAAGTCACTGCCGTTGTTTGCATATCGTCGACGTGAGACATCTCTTTCGACGACAGCTCCTGGCTCGAGAGAGCTCTCGGGCGACAATTTTCTCTCCCACATTGGGGCTCGCGAATGAACGAGCTCTGCCTTCCGGGTTTTTTTTTGGCCGAAATTCGAGGGAGTTCAACTGATAGGATCATTAGGGAGGCTTGGGACCCCGATTCAGATCATCCCAAGCACTCATTTTTCGGCTCGAACGAAGGACGGTGAGAACACCGGAAAGCATAAGGCCGGATTCTGTCCCCAGCGAGGCGGATGAGCCCTTATATGCCCTTTTCTGCTCTGGAGGAAGGCTTCTCCGCACCGGGATGGTCGCGCGAGAATCTCTACACCGTGTTAGCTAGATCGCACAGCGTCCGAGGAGGTCATTCCCTCCTTGTCCGATATGCGGGAGCTCGAGCAGGATTCTCGATTTGACGTCGGATTATGGTTGACCGGCGTCGCAGTTCAGTGAGCCCATCCAAGCATGGCAGTTTTGTTGTCACGGTGTCATTCGCCATTCGCTAGCGGAACATGAAAAGTTCCGCTTAACGATTATATTGCTCAGGGATCAGAAGTCGAGAAGTTCGATCTGTTCCGATGACTCAGACCTTTCGAGATAGAACGGATTCACCGACTAAATTCTAGCACTGAAGTTCCCCTCGAAGTAGACGATAGTCTGACCTGTTGCAAAACCTATTATGCGAATGGACCGAAAGCCGAAATTACCTCAAGACTTGGGTTCTGGATACGAAAGTTGTATTTTCTGATGAACTTGCTGAAACTCTTCAGTGCCCCGGGCGGCATCTGTGCGAATGTTGCGCAAGACTTCCAGATACTGCAACGCACCGACAGAAAATTACTTTTCTGATACGGAATAGAAGTGGAGCGATCGTGAATCGTGACGATAGTACTTGAAACTATTATGGACATAATCGCCTGGTGTTTGGAATCGCTCAAAGGTTGCGCGCAGTAGCGATAAGCATATCGATCTAGCCTTAGATCCGCTCTCATATCGGGGGCCAACAAAATCGCGTTGGGATTTCGATTCTTTCGGGAATTGCGCCCAGAAAAAGCTGCGTAGCCGATCGGCAGATGGTTCGATGACGGCCCGCCACGAGCATTCGGTGGGTAAGTGAGACTTGAGGCAGCACCGCTCCCTTCTGATATGCGAACAGTAACTAAGTCCAAAGGCTCCCGTTCATTGGCGATATTCGACCAGAGCAAGTTTTCTGTTGGCCTTCGGCACAAATAGGTCGTATCGGGGTCGAAACAAGAGAATCCGAGGGGCGGCGATGAAAGCACGTGTTGAATCCGTTTATAAGTAGCTCGGCCCGAAGGTGAATCTGTCATGAGCGGATTTACTCAAAGAGAAGCTACCCCGTCAGTCCCTGTTTTCATCCGTGAGGAATTCCTTTCGAGACTACGATGTACGTACACCAGTCACGATCATTCTATCAGAGAGGATCTTCACCTTCTCTACGGAGCATCATCATCATCTAACGCAATTAAGTGACGAGGAATACGACGCTGGAACAGGTTAGAATTTCCAGGTTCCTTACGCTTCTCCGAGATGCAGCAATACAATCAGTGTTGCAAATGCTAATTACCCATTCCCTGAGAAAACGGCATCTGCCGAGGGAAAGAGTTCACTCACTACTCGCTCAGGGTGCGGGATGTGCGATCCGGCGTCGAATGATCGCGCTATGACTCATCGTCGAGAGCGCAGAGGCCTCGTTATTGGAGATCGTCGGGGAAACCCGTTCCAGAGATAATGGGTCTTCCGTCAGTGCACCGTCTCGTTGAAATGTCCCGTAATCAGTTCAGGTCGTTGAGTCAGTCAGTCAGTAAGCCAGCCTGCCAGACTGTCAGTCAGTCAGTCAACCGGATGAACGGAATGGATTGAAAAGCGTTTCGAATTCGGACAGAAATCAATCCAACTGACAAGCCTCTGTCGGATGTTCGTCGGAGACGATGACATGGATTTACAGTTATGAGCGCAGAATCGAAGAATTCACAAGAACCAGTCTCTGGACAGAGCGGGTGCGGAATTCGCGAGTTCAGTCAACTCTATCCACTCACGCGGTCATCGACGGCCCAGCATCGATGCACCGCACGCTGAGCCACCCGTAGGGCGACACGTCGGGATCGGGGAGAATCACCGGATGCCGGACCGAGAGTCTCTCGAGAGAGTTGAATTACTCGAGCGTGGGGCTTGGTGCCACCCATCACATAAACGTGTTCAGAACGTCCTTCCTGGCGATTCTGTGCCATGGGCATCCACGCTCTTCCAGAATTGGTTGTGCGCGGCGGCGAGGCGGGTGCCCGTACTGCTTCCCATCTAAGCATCCGCTGTCGAGCATATATAGCCGGCAGCATAATGGCAAGCTAGCAGCAACAACAACAATAACAGCAATGACCGGTGGCCCCGCAGTCCGAGCCTTCGCTGGTGGCTGCGGTGTTACACAACAACAATCCTCCCTCACGGCCGATCCTTCTCTCTTTTTCGATTCGGGCTCGCTTGCTCCCTGTCGTCGCGGCCGCGCCAGCAGCAACCGTCAGCCTTCCAGTGCTGAGAAGCGCAGCTCGCTAGTCAGTCAGTGAGACGGTCGGTCGGTCGGACCGGGAGACCGATGCAAAGCGTTGAACGCGGATGATCCAAACGTTCCTCTCGCATCTCAGCGAGATTGTCCTCCGTTTGGATCTCGCCAACTCGGTAACTACAGTGGAAGTCCGCGGTATCGCCCGAGAGGATTCAGTGATAACGTATTGGTTGCTCGTCAACGACGGTCTCTCGAAGAAGTAGTCGGCGCCGCGCCGCCGCCACTCCTAGACTTCCAGAGATCTATCGATTCACATTGTGTGCCGCGGGCGTCTTCGACGACGGTTCGCAACCATGTTAGCGGTGTGGAATGTGCTAAGTACTATTTTCTACGGTGTTCTCACCCTTTTGAGTCTCCCGACGTTCTGGTGTGTCATGTTCGTGCTCTTGTTCGAGGTAGGTTGCGTTTTATTGGTACGCGCGCGACCCTGTGGCCGTTTGCGCGCACTGTTCCACAATGAGCATGTGTTCCGTGAGAAAAAAAATTGAGAGCGCGCTCGAAACACCGCTCTGAGATCGCCGTCGGACGGATGCGAGTGGGAGTCTGTGCGAGGAGGTGTGATCCACTTACTTAGCAGTTTGACAATACGGACGGATTCGTCATCGCGCTGTGTGTTCCATCTGATCCAATCCTATGACGGGACGTAGTCTACATCAGATCGGAGCGTTTTGCGGTACGCCTTCCGTACGAAGGTCGTGCACGAAGCTTCGCAGACAATCAAATCTCTCCAACGTTTTATCTTTATCCAAGATATTTTCTGCGGCGAAGTGCAGTTCGGGTGTGACCGAGTGCTTATTAAGGTACGCAGCCAAGTGAGAAGACAATTCTTCTCGTCGTCGTTGTCGACGTCGCGGCCGGCGCCGTCATCGCTCGAAACCCGAATGAATTCCGAAAAGTCTCCAGGAGCTGATCGATCGCTACTCGGTGCACATAAATGGCTCAGAATTCTTGTACCGGAGCGTCAAGGTCGACCTGATACTTTTGGTAGTGGACGCTGTCCTGCGAAAGTTGCTCGCAGCTCGATTCCCTTCCAGCCGCCGTATCTCATTTTTTCATGTCCATCGTCAGCTCTATCCGAGTGCGGGGAAAATACGTGATTCTTGTCTCTTCGGCGACCGGCGGCTGGAAACTTGCGCAATGATGGGGAAATAAACCTCGGCTCGAACCAGAAACTCTGCAGAGGGAAGATTGAAGATTTCTTCTGGAGTTCGTGACTCTTCCGTAGATATCCGGGGCTATAACCATTGGTGTGTTTGCTTGCGTACGTGCTGGAGCTTTGTCATCTTCGTCGATCGGTCGGTCGATCTGCTGGTCGGCCGGTCTCCCTATCATCCATCAGCTTGTTCGCTCTTCCTTTCGCTCGGTCGCTTGATGTCCTTCTTCTGTAGATCGGAAATTCTAATGACATCGCTTATTTGAGGAAATGAAAGGAAACAATCGATTCTGTTTCGCTCCATGGACATGACACGGTGGCAACGTCTAATTTATTTGTTGGCTTTTTTGGGGAACACGATATTTCTTGCCGTCTCTATTCGGTTGTTTTCCGAGTTGGCGTCGATGTCACGGTCTTGAGACTGAAATCAAGGGTCCGGCGGACAGAGTCTGTCCGCTTCGCTCACGGATTAAGAATCGAATCCAAACTCAATGGATACACGGAGGATGGAGCGCTGCGCAGGTTATGGACATTTGGAAGTCTTCCAGATTGTCCGATCTGTCGTGATTCAATCTCGACGGAACAGTCCCATTAATCTCGGTGCGAGTGAGGGACCCTTCCCGAGAGAAAGTGAAAGAGTGTTCAACCCACGGTCTGATAGCGCGCTCGATAAGAGCCTCGAGAAGAGAGAGCATCGGCGAAAGATGTTGGCGTTGACGTCAAAGCCGAACGCATATTGGTATCGCTTGCCCGGCTCCGGATGTTTTCAATGAAGACCGCCGGGGACAACGAAATTCCATTGAGTCTCAGTAAGGGCAGCGACGTCTCCCGCCGGAGGACATCCGAGCTGACGGTCGTTCGGAGAACTTGACTCCGATTATTGTTTTCGTCTCCATCCATTGACTCCAAGAAGAAAATGGAATCAATTACAAATGGGTGGATGAAAACGGCGCCGATCGAGTTGTAGTGGAGCCGGAATGATTCGGGCTCATGAAAGCGTTGACCGACAGAGTAACTCAGTCAGTGATACATTTCTACTTCTCAACAGGGGGGAGGGATTAGAAAAAAAAACACGCCATGGCTCCACCTGTTTCCGGCTCGCGAGAACTAGAGAGAATAATGAGCTTGCCTGCTATTTCTGACAAGGTTGATTTTGATTTCAGACATTCATCTCGATGTGCGACGTGCTCTTAAAACTCCTCGGTTGCCTGTTACAACAGATGGTCTTTGGTGAATTGAGGCTACACGATGACAGCCTGGGCAAGGATCGGCTGTGGAACTTCGTATTCTATAAGTTCATATTCGTCTTCGGCGTTCTGAACGTCTCCCAGGCGGAAGCGATCGTCAGCTGGGGAGCTTGGTTCAGTCTCCTGGGATTCCTCCATTTGCTGACGCAGCTCTGTCAGGACAGATTCGATTATGTAAGTCATTCTTTTTTATGGCGATCGAACATCTTATTGTCATTCCATGTCGCTCATGGAGACGCAACGCTTTTGTGACGTCGGTGGCGATTCCTTATCGCTTTACTCTGGCGCGAGAAACTAAGCCCGTTCGATTCAAACTAGATCTCGGTGCCAACACAGCTGCCTCGAGGTACTCACGTTCGAATCGTGGCTCTCTTGTTGGGCTTGCTCACGGCCTGCGGATTCCTGCACGTTGCCGCTTACAACCACGCGAGGAATAAGGGTTTCAACTACTTTCTGCTGGTCGACGCCGAGGTCTTCTTGATCTCTGTCAAAGTCGCCTATGCCTTCGTTAGGTGAGTGGATTACGCTATCGGATCTTCTTTCGTACAAACACAGAAAATGTCATGGCTCGGATATTCATTACATGGAATCGGCTTCTCCCTCGTCGACCCTTTTTGCGAATAGATTTCGTAATCTTTCCAAACGAAGTACGGCGTATGCCAGAGAGTTCTGTAACGACCAGAAGCTCGCGGGGAGCAAAAGAAATCGAAATCGACCGGATCAGAAGGCGAAGCAGAAATGTCTGGGCGGCCGCGGTTCGGGTCCAAGGTCTCGCCGCGCTTTCATTGCGACATTCGTCGTGACCTTTGTGCCACAGAAGTTTTCGGCGGAGCAGCATCAAGAATTTTCTCGATCAATCGGGTTCATTCGGCACCGCGTCAACATGCCAGCTGCTGCTGCTGCTGTCGAATACGCATTCGATGAACGAGCTTCATGGCTCTCGGCCATGCGGCGGAAATTTTTCCTTTTCGCCATAAGGATGAGGAATTCTTCCTTTTAAGAAGCCGTCGAAGGCTGCATTTTTTGTGGATTCGGAAATACATTCCCGTCGAGTAGATTGTATTGTCCTCATGCCCGGTGAACGCTCGGACGAGGGGCTTTCCTCAGAAAACGCACTCGTCGGATCATTTGCCCGTTATTTCACAGTCTTCTGTGCGTCGAGTCCGCCGGATACCGTTGAGGTGGAGAGGGCATCCGGTCGGGAAGTCGGTTTTCCTTTTTCCCCGGGCGCACAGAGAACTCGCCGTTGTGGATTTTTTCCCCGAGGCGGCGATTATTTTCGGTCTGGGACGGACTCTCTCCGACACCTTGGGCCAAAAATATGTTTTAGGCGATTTCTATCGATGCTCTCTTCGATCGAGGGGAGGCGGGCTAAGATGCCTGAGTTCTCCCCCCCCCACTTCCCCTACGCCGCGAGCTGAGTGTTCGATTCCTGAAATGCGGTTCTAAAAGCGAAGACTATGTCACTTCCAGATACGGCGTACACATGTGGGAAACCTTCGCCGAACGTACAGCATCTGACCGACGTGCAGAAGTTTCGTACTACCTCGAGCTTGGCTTGCAGCTCAGTATACTCGGAGTGGAATTCTTGCATGATTTGCATATGGTGGTAAGTAGTGAGCACCATACCTCAGCGTTTGCCTGCCGGCTATGCCATGGGATTTCCACATGCAACACATATACGATTTCAGATCTGGGGCAACGTTTTCCTGTCGATGGCATCGGTTGTTATTTCGATGCGCTTGCACTCGACCTTCACGGAGCTGAAACGAAGAATCGGAAAGCACCAGCATTACGCTCGCATTTCGCAGCTGCTCGTCGGTAGGTACCCGAGCGCCACCGCCGACCAGCTGGACGACCCGTGCGCTATATGTTGGGAAAACATGCATTCCGCTCGAGTTCTTCCGTGCAGACATCTCTTCCATGAGTGAGTGGCCGTTCGATCGATGTCTTAGTTTCCCCGATATAGAACCCCGTGCGAATAACATCCATCATACCGGTCGAGTATTGAGAGAGAATTCTTCGTTCGCAGGACATGCTTACGCTCATGGCTGGAGCAGGACATTTCGTGTCCGACATGCCGATTACATCTCGATATCGAGAAGAAACACCCAAAATTAGAAGCCGCTAATCCTGATGTGGACGATGACGCGCCGAATGTACCCGGCACGTCACAACACGTTTTCCACTTCGATGGGTCTCGATTCATTAGTTGGTTGCCCACGGTATCGGTAGAGTTGTCAACTTCGCCGGTCGTGCTCGAAGAGTTCCAGCGAACAGGTGAGTTTTAGCAAGCATGCTTATCCAGTACCCACGGTTAGGACTGACTGAGTGACTCGCCCCGGGACCATCGAGTCACGACTCTTCTCGACAGCGCGGCGTGGAATCCCGGAGACCGAGAAGCTCAAGGCCTCTATTTTCCCCTTCCAGAATGAATCATCTAGTCATTGACGATTGAGAAACGAATACTCGCTCGTGATTACCCACCAAAAGTATCTGCTGACGTCGGAAGAGACAGTTTCCAGTGTCGGTGATGACGGGGACGATCATCCGAAGAGTGACTTGGCAAAAATATCGACACTGCTGTCAGATCTAGCATGATATTCTGGATATCGTGTACAAAAGAGAGTCTTGATCCAAAGAATTGCCAAGGAAATCTTGTGATACGCAAGGGAATTGTGACCCTCTGCAGCTGCCAACCGCACCTTGTACATTATCTCGAACCTTGTTGGGTTATCCAAAAGTGTACATAATGAATATGTGTAGCTTAAAAAAAAATTAAATAAAACGCACACTCGCTTTCGGAGCTATCTTGAACTCAGCATTGCTGCCTTCGGCGCAGTCGACTATCGCTCAAACCTCCCGAGGGGAAGAACTCGTCCGTTTCGCTCCACGTGAGGTCTCCCCTTTCGATAAGCAGTGAAAGGCCCAAGGGTTCTGACCTTGTAGAGCGATCGATAATGTCGCAGGATCCCTGTGCCCCATGCGGATATTCCCGCGTCAAATGCTGTACTCCCAGAGCTGTTGGTACCGAAGCAAGGGGATCACTTGGGTGAAGCTCGTCCTCCTTGGCAGCACGGAGCAAGAGGATCACCGTTTTCCGGTCGACCTCTCCACGAAGGTTTCGAGCATCGGCGGAGGACTCATTGTCAGTCAGACTCTCGGAGGATTCTAGGTAGGTATCTTAGTACCTCCTTCTCATCTCTTGAGATCAGAGAAAAAGGACCGACTTCGGGGCTTGATGACGATTTTTTTCCTGTCACGCTTGTATCGGAGGCTTTCGCAATGATCGATGGCAGCGCTCCGTTTGAGGGAAAACCTTCGTAGGTCATTGCGCAGCGAGACTCGGAGCATATAGGAGAAACCGGAGGAAAAAAACATCCGAGTACAACATAAATCAAAAATCATCTATATTTCGCGTGACATCATCATTATAATTATTATTATCCTCCGTCATGATTCTCGTATAAAACATCTCTCGAAGTTGAATCTTCGCCTTTTTACAACAACATCTCTTCACGCTCGTCACCATTATCATCATCAGAGTCCATAATTGAAACATATGGTGAATTCGGAAATTGCACTCTCAGAATGATCTGTAGCGCCATCGGTCGGTCGATCGGGTAGTTGGTGATGGTGGGTTTCCGCTAGTCCATAGGTCGACAGGTGAATCGTCCCCGGCCGCATTCCTCAGTCGAATTTCGCTTTGGTCTTCAATGACGGTGATTACATTTTTGGGCTGGAATTATCAAAAGCTCTCCATTAGGGAAGCGCTCATGTCAGGCCTTGAGTTCTCGACCTCGATAGTTGGATTTCGCGAGGAAGGAATGACTTCGCCGAGAACTAACCCGAACGGGGACCTACCATTTAACACTGTGCTCATCGATAACGTCGTCGTAATTCGGATTGTTGAACTCATCATCAACGTCATCAATATCTTCGATACCGTTCTCGTTCTGAGCTTCCATTCGGGCGAGGTCGTCGGGTGACTTGGGAGGTGAAGGAGCGGGAGAACGTCTGCAGACAGCGCTCATGACGCGGTTTGTCCACAGAACGTAGACGGGATTCTGGAACTGGGGTCGGGGGTTGGGCTTAAAGCGGTGCGTTTGGACGATTGGTAGTGAGTGTCAGCATGCAGGTTAGGATTCCAAGACAGCGGACAAGAGAGGAGAGTAATTCATGGAATCGGAAAAATTTGAGGACGGGAAAGGGAGAGCGAGAAGGACAAGCTCCGGAGCCGTTGCACGGGGAAAGGACTCAGGGACCAGCGCAGGCGGGATGAGGGGGAATTCCACTCACAGCCATGGTGCCAGGAGCGTCACCGGCGCCGACAACAGCCATCTTCTTCAGCGCAGCTTGCTTCCGATGCATCAGAATGGTCATCAGGAGCAGGATGCAAACGACGACTGTCACCGCGAGGACGGCCGCGGCCAGCGTTGTAGTTCGAGCGTCGACGGCACGGGGTTCCAGGAGTCGCTTGATTGCGAGAACTTCGTTCTTGTCCGCACTGTAGATGACCTCCACCTTGCCGACGCCCTGTGCGTTCTTCGAGTCGCTCTTCTCCTCCACGACGTAGGTGAAGTTCGAATTGCTGAAATCGGCAACGTTGTCGCCGATTTTGAAGGATTTCGCCATGACCTGAAATGCCAAGGATTCTCTACTTCACGAACTGTTGTTCGACATAGCTAATACACAATTGAATGAAATTAGGTATTCACGCCCGGAGCGGGTTCGATTCTGGGCACGATCCTTTCCGAACCAGATCGAACGGATGATTGAAATCGACGATCATAGTTCGACCGTGACAGACAGGATCATTCGAATCGATCACTCACCAGCTGTTCGATTTTGTAGGCCAACGCCGCACAATTATCGTTGGTCAGCGAGAACTTCGCGCGAACCATATCGTCCTTCTTCTCCGGCGACAGGACACGCAAATCGTCTGCTTTGGCGTCGGTTGAGCGCAAGAATCTCTCGAGTTTCATTGAGAGGTACATCTTGTCCGCGCTCTCGAATTTCGGGTTCTTGAAGGCCATGTCGACATCGACGCGAGATATCTTGATCGGACCTGTGGATAGAGAGTTCCCCTTTCAGATTCTAACTATCGATGCAAAATTCCACTAGGACATCATATAATCATTAGGCATTTCTCTTGTGGCTTTTGGCCCCTTCGAAAGAATTTCGAGTCTAGGAAAAGATTACTCACCGCAAGTCTTCGACTTGTCTGTGAACGGCTCCCCGATCTGATGACCGGCCGAGTCGACGCACCAACATTCCTTCTTCGAAGGCAGGGAAATGCATTGCAGCGGATGGAACGATCCGTCGGAAGCGCATTCGGGCACGTAGATGTTTCCGATGAGAGCGTTCTTCTTCTGAAGGCTGCTGCATTTCGGCTCGACCTCGTTGGCCTTGGCGACCAGGTCGAATTCCTTCTCGCATCTGGCTGGCTCGTCCAGCTCGGGATCGATCCAGGTGGCACGGCACTCGCACGGATCCACCCGACAGACCGCGTTGGGGCTTCCAGGACAAGCGCTAGCAGCACAAGCCGCGATACGATCGCAAGGTTCTCGGGTGAGGCCTTCTTTCGTGATCGTGTCGTATGGACAGAGGACCATGTCTGGACAGGTTTGATCGCACGCTTCCTTCGATTCGAAGTTGTTGGCGTTTCCGCCGCAGCCTCCGTACGAGAATTCTTCGCATTGATGGGTCATCGCATTGTAGTACCAAGCCGGGAACTTGGCTTTGCAGAGACCCGGTTCTCTGGGCAGATCGCAGACGGATTTGGGCTTCTTGCATGTTTTCTCGCATTCGTCGGCGCTTTCGAAATTGTTGTCGTTGCCGTTGCAGTCGTACTGGAACTCTTCGCACCTCTGGGATGTCTGGTTGAAAGTGTATCGTTTTCGAGACCGGATGCCCGAGTTCTCCTCGCAGGCCGACGACTGGTGAGAGTCCTGCTCGCAGACAGGGCTGCAGTCCACCTTATCACCGAGAGCGTCGACGAAATGAATTTCGCAGTTGTTGCATGGGTCGGCCACGCACATTGCGAAAGGATGGCTGTGGCAAACAGCTGAAACGCATTCGTCCCGACAAACCCGGGCCTCGACTCCTTTCGGACAGACGTCACCGACGGCTTCCCTCTTGGTAATGTTCCCGTTGACGTCACACGCCACGGATCCCTTGGTGAGAGTCGAATCGATCGGAACTCCGTATCGATCAACGCACCAGGACAACGGTCCTTGCGATTGACTGACCGCGTAGCCTCCGTCCGCCGAGCAGACCGGCGGGGCGACGTACATCGACAACGGCATCGATTCCTCGGCGTTCTCTTCGACCGGAGCCCGGCACACCGAGCCGCAGAAACCTGGACAGCACTTGGCCGCGCCGGGACAGTGGGAATCGTGCATGCACTGATCCGTCTGTTCGGACAGCAGACATTGCGGGTTAAGAGTCGGGAAGGGACAGTGTCCTGGTTTGGTCTTGTCGCTGGGAGCCTCCCGCGCGACCGGGGCCGTGCAGGAAGACGAGCAGCCGTACCGGCAGCATTTCTCGTTGCCGGAGCAATCGGAGTGGTCGGAGCACTCGTTGCGACATCCACCGATCATGGCACTGATGGCGTCTGCGATACCGGCGGGGGGACAATCGTCTTGAGATACCGTGACGGTCTTCTCCACGATACGCGATTCTCGCGCGTCCGCGGGGTGTCCGAATAGATAGTTGAGCAGGTGGTTCAGGGAACCTTGTTCCACTTGACGCATGGCGGCGAGTGGCACGGGTCCGTCGGACTTCATGGTCATCCTGACTTCAGCGAAGTTGGGGCCGACGACGAAGCGTTCCGAAGCCTGAGGTTGAGGCATCATCGGCTCCGGGAGCTGCGGGGCGAGCTGCGGGACTTGCTGTCCGCCCATCATTCGTTCCATCATGGCGGTCACGTGGCTCATGAACAGGGCCGGGTCGATGGGGTTGACGCTCTCCTGGGAGACGATTTCTTCCTCCTTGGGTTCGTCGGCGACTTGAACCATCATGCGCATGCGGGGCATTGCAGACGAGAGCGTCTGCATGATCTCCAGCGGGTTGGGCGTTTGGTGGATCCTTCGGTGGACGATCATGATTATCGGGGCCCGGAGAGGGACGACGACCTTGGGGGGCGCGGATAGCTCAGCGATCGGTTCTTGGGACTGTCGTCGGCGGTTCTGGTGGTAGGCGCTCATTGCGCGCGCAGCCGGATCGTCGTAATCGCTAATTTCGTCCGAAGGTGCTTCTCTCTTGGCTCGGTTGCTCCTCTCGTTGCCTCCCGGGAATCCGGGCAAGTTGTCAGGGTAGACCCTCTGGATGAGGCTGCTGATGGTGTGGAAGAACTGATTGTTCCACGCGCGAGAGTTCCGGACCATTTGCGATTCTTCCTGACAGGCGGTCAATCCCTTCTTGCAATCGACGACGTTGTTGGATTCGTCGTAGAATACGGCCTTGCAACCTCCGCACGGATCGACTCTGCAGGTGGCGTTGTTCTGGGCAGCGCAGTTGCGGCTGCAGACCTCGCGATAATCGCAGATGTGCACGGGCTCCCCGTTCGGACAGATCGCCGGCGGCGGGATCTTATCGCCTTCGGATCGTAGCTCGGAACAGTTCGGAGTTCCTCGGACCATGCTCCCCGATATTTGATTGCCTTGCTGGTCGACACACCAGCAGAGCCCGAGCTCGGGCATGCATTGGACGGGGTCCCAGGTGCCCAGACGGTAGTCGCAGTTCGGAACGTAGACGGGCTTGGCGGTGGCGGTCTCTGCCGAAGCCGACTGTTCGTTGCTCTTGATTTCTCGCATGGCTTCACATTCGGTTCTCGTTGGACAGATACCCTCGCACTCGGATTGGCTCGAGAAGAGATTCAAGGCGCCTTGACAATGATCTTTGTTGAAGGGGAACGGTTGACACTGTCTTGTCATTTCATCGTAGAACCAGCGCTCCTCGATTTCCACTTCGTGGTTCACACGGGCGCACATCGGGGGTGGGCCGAAACAAACCTCTCGCGGCTTCGGGCAACAGTGAGCGAATTCGCCAAAGATGTCGAGCTGGCATTTGTGGCTCGTGGGACAGACGTTCTCGCCGGGTCCGCACGTAATGAGCGTCTCGTTGAGCAGGAGGGGCTCACCCACGAGGCAGACGTTCTCGATCTTCGGTCGGCACATCGCCTGTCTGGGACAGGGTCCTTTGCCGACGCACGAAAGCGGAACGAGGCGACATTCCTCGTTCATCGCACAATTCAGCTCCGCGCAAGGGTCGACGCACTCGCACATGTAAGGACAGCCCTTCGCGTCGAGCTTCTGGCCGAACTCACAGTCGACATTGCACTCCACATTGCACGTGGTGTTGACGTTGCGACCCTGCTCGCGGACTGCCGTGCAGTTCAGGGTGGGAGCGCCGTTGACGCGGGTTCCGGGGATTTCGATTCCTGCATCATCGGCGCACCAGCACGACTCTCCGTGGCACTGGACATCTTCGAAACCTCGTCCCATGGGATCGCACGACGGTATCGGTGGGTTCTGGGAGCGCGTCTCTCCGGCGTGTGTCTGGTGCTCGCGAAGCGTGCGCGTGTGCTCGCAGCCAGTCATCTGCACAGGTGGCATACACTGAGTTCCGCAGCCGTTCGAACAGCATTTGGAATCACCGGAACAACGTTTGTCGTCAGCGCATTGGATCTGAAATAATGGTTCTCTTCAGAATATATTTCCTAAGCCACGAACGGAGTTCTCATCGCGAGCGACTTCCCCGCCCGATGGAGAGTTCGCGGATCGGGCTCCACGAGAAATTTATCTCTGGACCGGCAGAGAGGAAATGAATTATAATCCACACAAACCTCGCATGATATGGCGCCCATTGGTGTGTCGAACGGAATGAGGTAGGGACACTGGCCCGATTTGACGTCGGATTGCTCCCGGGTCTCTGACCACTGGTCGTCGTTTTCGCGGTTCTCCCGAGCCGGACAGCACCGTCCGTATTCTTCATCGTCGCCGACTGGAATACAGGAATAGCCCGAAGGACAGGAGTCCTCGCGACTGTCGGCAGAGCACTGAACGACCTCATTCGTTTCAGCGTTCATGAAAGGTCCCGAATAGCTTCCCGGACAGAACATCATCATGCTCCTCTGGGCGGCCTTCTTGCTGATACCTGCGAGGAAATTCAATAATTCGATTATGATAATATTAGGATTGGGTTCAACTCGGAATATAATGGGCGAAGGTGTCCAGTGGTCGTCCGACGAAGAACTCACACTTCGGCACCGGTGGACACCACCAGTTGCTGCACGCGGTCGAAGGTTCTGCCAACTGACAAACTTCGTTTTCGCCGCAGCTGGCAGCTTTGCACGGATTTCGACAGGCACAGATCGGGCATCCTTCTTCGTCGTACTCGAAACCGAACTCGCATCCGAGTCGACACAGGAGGTTGTAGCAGGGCTTGGCCGAGCGCATCTGGCGGCACTCGACCTCGTTGGCCGTCTGGTTCTCCTTGCGGGAGTTCTGGATTTCAACACCGAAATCGTCGACGCAGAAACACCCTTGAGCGTCGCACTGCACTGGAGAATATTTTCCGTCCTCGGTACAGTTCGGCGTGGGAACGGCGAGCTTCTCTCCTCGCGAGCCCAACTCGCGAAGGTATTCACACATGGTCGAGACTTTATCCTTGGGCATTTCTTCTTCGCGCTCGGCGTCTTTCGGAGCGAGCTGCGATCTTCGGCAGCAGACACCCATCGACTCTCCGGGCAGAATTTCGCAGTCGAAGCCCTCGTCGCAGAGCTCAGCGTTCGCGCAGCTGACCGTCGCGTTGTCCTTGAGCTGAGCCTCTCCCGACGAGCACACGAGACCGGGATCGGATTTCTTGCTGCACGAGGCCGAAACCGCGCAGACGGACCCGGTGCATGGCTCCTCCTGGATTTTTCCCGAGTTAAGAGTTAGAAATCTGACCGTCTCCCTCCAATTTCCAATGGAAATTGGCGGCAATGAGTCACGGGGAATCAGGGACTCCCAGCTCCGATCGAGAGATACTCACCTTCACGATGACGCATTCCTCGTCTTTTTCGCAGGTCTTCGACTCGCAAGGATCGACGCATTCGCACTGAGTGCAACCCTTGTCGTCTTTCTTGTATCCATATTCGCACAGAACGTCACACATGACCAGAGAACAGTCGTGGCTGTCTTCTTTGAGCTTCGAGGACCGCGCGAAGGACGATCGATCTTTGGTAGCGCAAACCACTGCGGCAGCCGGTCCCATCGAGCCACTCATCTGCTGACCCGCGCTGTTGACACACCAACACACTTTCCCGTTTGTCGAGCACTGCTTGGCCAGGAATTGACCGTCTTCGTCGCATTGGGGGAAGTAGCCGGGCGCGTCAACCCCTTCGGAGAAGAGACGCGCGAGCCGTCTCTGTTGTTCGCAGATGGTCGAGTTGCGTGAAGAAAGGCAAGCCTTGCCGCACGACGTATCACAGCACTTCATGCCGACCTCGCAGTCGGCGTCAAACTCACACTTCTTATCACAGCGGAAATCAGCGGGAACGCTCTGAGGGCATTCCGCCGCTCGGTTCTGTTGCTCTTGCGGGCAACAGAGACCGTATTCGGCCTTCTGTTGAACGAAACATTCGTATCCCGAAGGACAGCTGGGCTTATCGGAGTCCGTTCCGCAGAGAAGGGGTCGGTTACCCGCTCCCGTCAGAGGGTCGCCGAACGCGCACTCCCCGAGCGAGGCCCGAGCTTTCCTGCAGTTCGTCGACGGGGAGCACGGCTCCCCGGCCGTGCAGCCACTGTCGTCCACCTGGCATTCGGTGCCGTTGGGGCACTCGACGTCTCTACACGGATTCTTGCATTCACACAGAGCGCATCCTTGAGCGTCCGTCTCGAAGCCGTAGGGACAAAGCATGCGGCACGTATGCGGTGCGCACGTCGGTCCTACGCCTGGAAAAAAATGACGTTCCCCGCGATTATAGACCGTCGCGTTTGATGGTGACATTCTCTATTGAAGAGATGCGCATCCGCAAAGTGAGCCACGGCTGTAATTTATGGACAATAGAAAGAAACTCACTTGAAGTTGTCGTCGTCACGTCTGGAACGCTGGTAGTCTGCGTCGTCACTTCCTGAGCATTGGTGAGAGCCAGCCATGCCAGAACGACCAGAGCCGCGCCCCTCCTACTGGACGCCATTCTGAGTACGCGCCCGATCTGAGCAAAGAAGAGAAAAAAAACTCAGTTCCTGAGGATGCTCCGAGAGCTCGAAACGCCTCTTCACGTCGGGCCAGCAAGTTACCTATTACCCTTTTTCAGCTCATTCCTCTTTGGCTTTATCGGCGTGAGACTAGGTACCTATTTGGCTCCCGCTGATTGTTGAGCAAGCATTCGCAACGCCGACAATCTGTCAACTACATAGTATGCGGCAAGAGGCGCGCAACTCTGTCGCTGTGCTACACTCGTATTCATGGACTCTCGCGTCACGGTTCGCGATGAATAGATTTTCTGCTGCGGCATGATAATAAATTCAATCGCTCGCAACTGAGAACGCTCATCGGCGCATGTATTGGCTTCGAATGATTAATCATCGGATATGGCCGTGAAGGGCACGCGATGGAACTTTGGGAGGAAAAAAACTTGAGCCATTTTCTGTGTGATTCAGTCATCCTGTCTGCGAGTGCTCGTTAGCCGTTGAGCTCATGGGACGTCGAGCCGTTGCGGCGAACGGTCTCGGTCAGCCTCGCGACTCGATCGGAAATCTGATGGAGTCAGGGCAGCCACCGCTCGATTCTGGTCGGGTCGCTCGCGTTCCGGGAAACTTTCTGTGCTCTTTGATACCATTCACTGAAAAGACGTCATGTAAACACAGGGACAAGACTACCGCTGCTAAACGAGAGAGAATTCTGTGGGAAGTCGCAAGCCAGGGCAGGGAGGCCAACCAGTTCGTCGCTGCCAACATAAAGACAAATTGTTTCGAACAGACCTGGCAACGCATCAGTCTCACGAGCGTTTGCCATGCTTCGCCTTTCTGTCGTGGATGTTCCAGAGCTGCCATTGTTTTTTCCAGTTTTTTCTTCGTCGTCTTTTTCTTCCCCTCATTCTGGAATATCTCGCAAGTAGCATGCGACGTTTTTTTCTTCTCTCTCCCCGGGGCTCTTAAGTACCCCGCCAGGTGGAAAAGCCATGAAAAAACGGGGCAGTGAAATCATTCGGATCTGATCTTCGAAAAGTTAAGCGTCAGGATGACGCGAACGATTTGCAACTGAGCGCCCACCTTTCGGATTCTCAGTTCCTCTTTCTCTTTTATTTCCACGATTCTTGGGTGGTTATCTCCCCGAATGTCTCGTCGGTAGATAGCGATAGCGATGTTTCGGACGTGCGGCGGGCCTCGCAACCGACGCCGGCGGGTCGACTGGTGGCGAACCTTGACTCGACTCGCGACTGGAGTCTTTCCCTCGTTCCCGCGGCTCTGGAGCTTTCTACCGCAACCACTTCGGCCATTCCTCCCCTCGCGGGAAGCGAAGAAAAATTTCCGCCTCCGATTCAAATAATCAGCGAAAGTGTAGCAGCTGTTCGTGAGAAACTAGAGCGACGCCCGTAGTGAGGCAAGTAGCAGTCAAAGTGTGAAAGTTGCGATTTTTTTTTGAAATCAACTCAAAAAACTCGATGCTTAGCCAGAATTATTCAACGCTCGCAGTCAACAACGTCAAACAGGGGCAAGGCCCCGTCGAATCCGCGCCCGACGCCAGCGCGAGCGAGCGGTTCGATCAACGTCTCCCTCGTGAAAGCGTTCCATTCCGTAACATTCAACGTTTTCGGTGATCGGGAGTTTAAATCTATTTCACCGAGTCTTCGGGGGATGCGAGCTGCGCGTTTCGCAGCGAGCATCGAATAATTTTGGTCGCCATGCATAAACGGGAATCATAAGGAATCACCATTCGACAGCTCAAACGCTCCGCCGGGTTGAAGGTGGATGCAGCGAAGCTGCTTTTTTTCTGTTCGCTCCGCGATGACGGCTGTGCGTCTTTCAAAAGCAGAAGCGGCGGGAGCAGCCACATAATACTGCTCGTTCTAGATATGTATGTCCTTGTGCAAGAGAATTAGACACTGGTAAAGAAGGGGAGCGATGCGCTGACGCCACAAGAGTCGACGTTGTGAGCTCCCGTCAGCTTCGTGGACTTTCCAGCGCGCCGCGTATCGAATCTAGCGAGGCGTTGCCGCGCCCAGAACATCGACATGCAACGAACAGCATCGATCTCCCGAGCCGGTCGGTCTTCTTGAGCCGACGAATTCTCTTACGTTATCCCGAAAGTTTCCAACAGATTGTTGCTCCTTTTCCAGGCATCGTTGGCAGGGCGCTCCAGCCTAGGAGCGAGCTTCTTTGGGATCCTGGCTGACTTTCTTTCCCCGACAAGGAGTGTTTTTTTCACGAGTAGAGATCGTGCTGAATTATCTTTCGCTGCTCATCGGAATACCTTGCTCTCTCTTTTCCGTCATCCGGCTGGTCTAGCTCGTGCCTCTGCATGGGCGGGCCGCTCTTCTAGGGGATTTCCGCGATTTAAAATCATTTCCCGATAGCAACGTTCACTTTCTGATTTCGCGAAGTGAATTCCGTTTGGAACGTGACTCGTGTAAAGCATTTCCCTCTGATTCTCATGCAATGAACAAGCCATCGTTGAAGTCTGTCGATCTGCGAGGCTGTCATTGAAAACTAGCTGCTGGCCGCGTCAGTCAGTGGTGGCCGCGAGGGAAACAATTGTTAGTTGCTCGCACTGGTGAAGCCTTGGGCAGCCTTTTAAAAGTGAAGAGAGAGGGGAGAAATCAAATCTCCCAGAGAATTTCTACCCGCTTCGTGAGCGCCTATCCATTCCCATCAGAATATCCCTAGAGGAAGTTAGAAGGGCTGGACCGAGAACTTAAGATAGAGAAGAGAAACTTTGCCCGCAGTCCCAGGAAATGAACACTATGGGAATTCGAAGCTGATTACGAGCTCTTAAACTTGAGAATACCACATCCAGCAGCCGGCAGAGCAAAAACAATGCCATTATAAAATATCTCAGGAAGTAACAAGATGTTCCGCTCTTCGTCCCCACGGAGACAGACAACGAGCGGAGAGCCGTTGAGGAATTCGGTATCAGCCGATCGTATTAGTAATGAAACGGTATTTTTTGTCGTGTCGATGTATTTACGGGAGGAAGGCGGGGAAGGGGGGGGGGAAGTCGAATCCGCTCATTGCCGGTGTTCGCACTGCTGGACTGCCGCGGAAGAACAACGCTTTGCGGAACGTTCCCATCCGCATGTGCAGATCGCAATCGGATCTGTCGTTACCATTGTGGATCCCATCCGTAGGCGTCTTAAGGTATCCCGTGCTTCGCTCATGGTAGTTTCCAGCAACGACTTCCATCGACGCCGTGCGTGCCGTCGCCGATAGTGACTCCGACTGAGCGACTGGATGACTGCCCGTCCGTCTCACTGACTGACTATTTGACTTTCTAGCGAGGAGAAGAACTTGAACCAACTTCAGTCAATCATCCATTGATAATTGCGAAAGTCTGCCGCGACCCTCGAAGACAATGCGGTCAATAGACTCTCTTGTGTGTGTCGGCTGCTCGCCGGTGTGTGAGAGCTGTGCTTGCGCACGCGTTGAAACCGGTCACAGGGTGGGTAGGTGGGCTGGTTGCTCCGCTCGCCCGCCCGCCGGTGGAACGGTTTCCACACTTCAAGTATCATCTGTTTCGAGCGTCGCTAATTATTCGGAAGAAGTGAAATTCACGGAGCCCAGATTTTCCCTATTCAGCTCCTCTGAATGGGCTCACGATGCCGTTGCTGTCGATGATGCTACTTCTTTCGCGGATGAATCGATTTTTGGCCTGGCCTAGCCCGCGACTCCCGCGGAGCCGTACCTCACAACGACTTGCAGGGGCCCAAAACCGGCCACTATGTTTGTGGCCATACAGCTGCGAACGTCGTCGACGACGGCGACTTCGGTTGGCAAAATGTCTCCGCAACCGCTTGTCTTATATCACCGATAAGATGGATCTCTCAGACTGTTTTTTCTTCGTAATAAACGAGACTTTCACAGTAGTCGTTGCTCGTGCGGTCGATCGCTCGCACGCATCTGCGCAGTCGATGGTTGAAGAAAATATCAAGAATCGGCCGCGTAGTTGTGGAAAAGCGTTTATCCATGCGCGTCCATTGTCGATAAGTTCGTTTCTTGCCGGCCGGAGCATGCGCGGCGCGATGATAGCCTTGTTGCGCTGCTACGAAAATACTTTCACTCAGCAGCTTGATATCCTGTTTGTGCAGCTCTTTACGGATTCATAAAATTAAAGACGAAGAGTGCGCCACGGACACGAAGAAGATGAGCCGAGCAAGACGTGGAACAACGAAGAGCTCGCTATCGGAACAGCTTCTGCCACAATGGCAAGCATTCAAGCACGTATTGCTCGATCGAACAGCAGGAATTAACTCCGGCCTGCGTTTCCGGCAGAAGGGGTCGTTGCGTCGGCGCGGACTAACCCACGGCTCGGCTAACAGCGGTCTACAGCCAGCCCGGCAGTCAGTCAGTCAAGCGGTCAACTAAACCGCAAGTCACCTAAAGAGCGGCGGTGCTTTTGGTTCAGTCGGCAGCCCCAGAGTGAATTATCCGGAATGAACCAAAGAATTATGTTCCAAAATAAATATGTTTGTATATTTTTGGAAGCTGCAGCCCGAGCACACAATGCCCCCTTTGCCCTTTGGCAGTCTCAGTGCTCTTGAACAGCTGATCCCCCGCGCGAAGTCAGATCGCTATCGCAGTCGTCTACCGCCGAGCCGTCGTCGTCGGAAGAAATAAATACGAGTTGCCGCGAGCGATACCTGTACCGATGATATTCGATGTTTCAACAGCGGCTGCTGCCACTCGAGTTCTCAATGCCGATGATGTTGTTTACCCGGAATCGCGAGCACATAAGACCCCGTGTTTTTCCTTCATACGCTGTTATGTTTGTATTCATGATCTATAGAGCATCGTTGCCTCACCGAGCCGTCGCAACGATCGGCGAAGACGATTTTCATCATCATGTATCGAAAACGTGCGTGGCGGATTGAAAGCGAAAAGCCGAACTTTC